TCTCTGCTCAGGGGACAGTCTCTCCCCCTTACCTGCTTCCAGCACTGATGTTAGGCTATCCTCCAATGAACTCAGGCCTTTAGGGTTAGGGGAGAACCCACTTTGTTACATATGTGGTTACCTGCAGTTAGAGGGGCCTGCATGCCCCGAGAGTCTATAAGGTGATGTGAGAAGACAATCCCTCTCTCTCTGCTCAGATCTGGTTCCTGAAGCCATGCGGAGGTGAGCACCCCAAAACTTTTGTCCATCTCTTAAATTTGTCCCTTTAATTATGCATTCGCCTCCTAGGACCCACCCGGATGTGAGGCTGGATACCACACGACCCACTGCATAATCACCCGGCCACCCGACCACGAGGGAAGCAAGGTCCCAGGTCCTGTGTGTGAGTGCTCATCGAGGGACATTCCCAGTAGCCCGGAGGTGGGTGCAGACCGGACATCTGTCCACTGCCGAGGGCATGGAGCCACAGAATGGGGTCCCCCGCACAATGAATGGCCCCCCAGCTCCACCAGAGAGAGAACCGATGCCCCAGCCCGGCTGGACCCTACAGAGCGACGACGCAGAGTGACAGACAACAGACCACTCCCTGAGGGACACACCTTGTGCCCGTCCACCGACACTCAAGGAACCTTGGTGACAGAGTGATCAGGCATTGGGCTGCGATGCCCAAGGTCAGCAGTTCAAAACCACCCAGCCACTCGGCAAGAGAGAGACGGGCTTTCTATTCGCACAAACAGTTACCGTCTCAGAAACTCACAGGGCAGGTCTACCCTGCCCTGTTGGGCCTCTGTGCGCCGGCATGGACTCTAGTGAAGAGAGAGCGAGTTATTTACAGCCAGCATCTCTAGAGGGCCAGCACAGGGGACTGGAGGCTCTGCGTGGGCACCAGGGAGGTATGACAATGCTCTGGTGCGCCCCATGATATGTCCAGTGGCTGATGACTGAGTGGACAGAGCTGGTTCCTTCTTCGTTGTCTGGCCTTGATCTGGAAGCTCTGTGGAAACCTGTTCCCTCTGGGTGACCCTGCCAGAGTCTGAAATACCCGGGATGGAGCTTCCAGCGTTACAGCAGCGCACCCACTCTGCGGGGTGACAAATCCTCTGTTGGCCTGACAGGGTGACAGCAAGCATGGGCGCAAGCGTATAGATAACGGTGAGGCTGGTGCGGGACAGGGCAGTGCTTCACCCTGTTTGCACAGTGTGGGAGTCCGGGTGGACTAGAGAAGTCATAAACGCTCAGGGCTCTGGCTCCCTCAGTGTACCTCGATGTGTCTTGTCAGCAGGAAGACAAGCAGAGCTTGTGTCCCAACTCCCGGGTAGAAGACAGGAGTTCCCAGAATCCTCAGGAGAAGGCCATGCCCACACAGAGGCATGATTGGTTACGACCCGATTGATAGGCCGGGCTCCACCCCTTCGCACGTGGACAGGAGATGGTGTCACTGCCCCACAGGTGGGGGCTGTCGCTGGGAGCCCACTGGAGGGCACCTCGCCACAGCAGCATGCAGGAGGCACTGCTCAAAGGGAATGCCTTCCTTCTGGGGCGACTCGGTAGGGTTGGCTGCACAGCTTGGGGAGTGTCGTTAATGTCACCGAATGGTCCCCTTCAGCACCTCCTCGGGAGAAGGAGGAATAACCCAGTTTCTTAAATCATGGGCAGAGGACATGGGCATCGGGGCAGCAAGGATGACACCCAGGAGAGCCATCGGCAGGGCGAG